GTTTTCCATGTGCTCATTGCAAATTCAAAGATTAATTATTTCTTATAAGTATTAGCACATATGTTAATTCCAAATCAGATGAGATTATTACACTTGTTCATTTATAATGTTAAATATGTTGATTTCCCCTTGCTCTTTTATCCTGTTCATTTGGAAATTTAATAACTACCCTGCAGGGACATTGTTATTGCATGTGTTTCTCTAGGTATCAAAAAACTGAGAATTCTCAGTGTGCTGTGCAGAATTCTCTGGCTAAATTTTGCTGGCTTGAGTAGTTTCTTGTTCAAATTTGGAGAATATTTTGCAGCTATTTTACAACATATTATTCTTTAATTGAAACCTTGAATTTAATTTTACTAATAAACTTATTTCTGTTATTGAATAGATCAACTCTCTCATTGACATGCTGCACTCTGCTGACTCTGGATGTTGCAAGAATGCTTGCTTTGCATTAAGCTGCATAGCATCCTTAGCTCAAGGACATCAGCGCCTGCTGAATCATGAGAAGATTAATAGCATTGTTGACATTCTTTGCTCTCTCCTGGCTGCAACTGATGAAGAAAGCATCTGGTTTGCATCAATGTAAGTGAAGATAGCATTGCGTTGACTGTGTTTTACTGACCATGTAAGTGATATAAGTGTACTTCTTTTGCTAGTTAGTTAGTCTGTATATTGTTGAAAGATATATTGAGCCACAAACAAAGGGGAAAAGAAAAAACAAATCAAAACAAAAGAAATATTGGCAAACTGATCCAGGTTGAATTCAAACCAACCCGGGTTTATATGGATAACTTGATGAAGAACAAAGTAATGTGTGGTAGATTGGAACAAATTGACCTGAAGAACAAACTGACGCACAGCAGGTGCATTATGTAGAAAGAGCAAAGATATAAAACCTTTAAAAAACATTCTAACAAAAATTAACATTAATTATTAGGCATGTCTACTACATACTACCAGTAAATGAATACTGTGTTTTGAAGTTCTTTTGATAACCTATTTTGACTAGAATGATTTTAATAGGTATGTGTGTGGTTAAAACCCTCTCTTATTGGAATTCATTGTTTTCTATGCCATGTACTTACACTAACATTGCGTATTCTTCACTTTTCTGGAAAACATTAAAGGATGTTGCATACCTTTGCCAGTCAAAAAAGTGGCTGTTTGTATCTCAGGACTCAGCCCAATGTGAGGGAATCCTTAGAGGTTGGTACTCAATATGTTTTCTGTGTTAAATTTGGTCCTTCCATTGTCATGTGGGAAATAAGGTTAGATATTGGGCACTTTTGAAAAGACAAATTCACTATTCATTTAAGTAATAGACTACTACATGTTTGTTGTTGTGTTGCATGTATTAGATGGTATACAATAACATCAAGTTGCAATCTCTAATAGTGCCATTAATTTAAGGGCACTGGTTAGTTTGTCATTTTATCCTTTCATTTTCAATTCATGTAAATAGCTATTCTCCACATCACATGTCGTGCATTTCTTATAATACAAGATCTAAGAACAATGTTCCCTATCTGATATTTTCCTTTCTTATAACCTTTCTGCTAATTAACAATTAAGTTAGTGGTGTTACAAGGAGGAATCCCTTTTTGGTCACTCATGGAGTGCTAAGATTAATTTTTTTGTTTTTACTTGGTAGGCTCTCTTAGAGAGGCCAAGTCTGAAAGAGGATACTAAGGAGGAAGTGGAAGCAACTCTGGCCATTTTAGAAAAACTTCCCCGACCTAAACCACCGAACATTAAAGGTTTGCAATAATATTGTGCATTGTAGTATGGTAGTTCTATTACCCTAACTCAACTGATGCATTTGACATTTTTAATCCTAGCATCATGCATGACACTTGTTATCTATGAACTTTGCAGCTTTCTTGCTTGTCACAGAGTTTTCCGTATCTCCATGGTAAGGTATATGAGCATGAAATCTAAAGGTCTATTAGGTTTGATTCCTATTGTGGGGGATCGACTCAGGTTTTATTTTAGGGTCCTATACACTCTTGGCAAATTAAATGCGATAGTTGGTTAGTATGGTACTTACTTCTGAAGTCTGTTTTGTGGTGGTGTCTGATTTTGGACACCAGTGTCCAATATTAGTTGCTATGTAGTGTTCTATTTTGAGAGACTAGGGTCCAATTTTGACACTAGTGTCCTCAATCAAGCAATTGAGTCCAAACCTGAAGACCTGTGTCCAATTTTTGACACCAGTATCCAAATTGGACAATAGTGTCCAAAATAACATACTTTACTGCAAAGTTGGAAGTGAAGAAAAGAAGGGCACTTGCATTGAGTAATCTTGAAGATGTAGCTCAAACAAGTTATCTCAGCAACTTCTATCAATGGAGAAGAACTTCAAAAGAGGAAGTCAATGGGTGTTCATGAAATCTTTGGAAATCATACCTGATTTTTGTGTGAAATTGGTTGGGCATATTGAAAATTGGGTTAGACAATGTTCATTGACTTACAGTTATTTTTCAGCTCTAATGATGTTATAATAATATAGTTATATCAAAAGTTAAACATGGTAATGTAAAGTAGGTTGAAGTTTGGTAGAAATGATGTAAGTTGCCTTGTTTTTAACCTGCAAGTGGAGAGTGCCTACAGTATTATTGTGAGCTGGGATCCTATTCATCCAAAAAGTGGTCTTGATGTCACATACCTTCTTTTCCAAGGTAATAAATTCATATCTGTAAAAAAATTAAGGTAGCTAAACATGATTCTCAACAAAAGATAGTGGAGGCCATTTTCATACCTCTTAGCAGTTAGAATTTGTTTTTTGTAGTGATTGCAATGTATGTCCACCTTCTAGACTAGTTTACAGTCAAGTCGCCCAAAAGTCATCTTTCCTGAAGTCATTGGGCCCGAAACCAGAGTCATGTTACCTGAAATCCTAAGTTATGTCACCGGAAATTTTATCAAGTGTTAAAACTTGAAGAAAAGTTTAATCTTAAGTAAATTGCAAGGAATAAACTTGTAAAATGTTGACTCGTGAAACTCAGGTTGTTCGTTTCGCTGTCATTTGAGAGAAAATTAAAGGGTATATAATAAACTGCTATAGGGATTAGAACCTATAGCCAAGAAACTTTGCAGGTTATATTGCAGGGTTTTGCCTGCTACTCCTGTGATCAACTCATTATAACACATCCATTAATGTTGCTTAGAATAAATAAAGAAGGAAGAAAGAGAGCAAACTGAAGACTGTTACAAAATGTTTTCCAGACCCAGGAAAAATTTGTTAGCATGCAAATGTTTATCCTAGTAATATTTTTCACAATTTAATTTAAGAAGATCCATATATCTGTTAGGTCAAAAGATCAGTCATACATATATATATATATATAATTATATATATCTCTGTTTAATGTTCATTCAATCCAGATGAGAAATTGGTTTACTCTGGTCCAAGAACAAGTTACATAGCCAATGACCTAACACCAAACACAAAGTACAGCTTCTATTTACAAGCCTCAACAGAAGGAGATGACAGTCCTCTAAGCAAGAATGTGTCTGTTGTTACTCCTGAATCAGGTACTTCTAATCCCATTGAAACTCCTACCAGTAAACAGGTCAAGTCAACACTTGATTAGTGTGATCCTTGAGGTCTATTTCAACAAAAGCAAAGTAGTGAGCTGTCCACAGTGATGGCTCTCTTGTCTTGTGGATTAAGTTAATTAGAATTTGATTTGAATTTGAATCTAATTGATTGTAAAGGATGGCTGAAACACCCCCAGAAAGGGCCATTGTTGATGTTAGCTAGATCTTTATCTGAGTAGGAAAAACATCGAAACTTGATTAAAAACTGAAAAATGAGAAATTCTCTGTTAGTCAAAGTCATGGAATCCTTAAACTCTAGAGACTGAGTGGGTGTATTGTCAGCGCTCCCTTTCTTTCAGATTCTCTGTTATCTTAACATCCCCTAAAAGTTGATCTTAATGGATATAATTGCATGTTCAAACCCTCTACTGTATATAAAGCCTTTTTCATAAATTAGTAGTGTGTGAGTAATAACAATTTCATTTCTTATGATGTCCTTTGTAATACACAGTTCCAAGTGCACCTCAGTCTCTCCAAGTGTTAAACAAATCTACATCACAGATAAAAATAATGTGGGAACCACCAGAAACTTCCAATGGGGTACTTAAGGGATATCAAATTGTTGTGAGAGGTATATCTTTTAAAGTATTTTTCCATACTCAGTTGCAGTGAAAATTTGTGTCATTGACATCATATTATATTATATATTATATTATATGTATATAATTTTGATTTTGTATGTAATACCTAACAAAAATGCAGGCTTAGCAGTATAGCCATTGAAAAATCATGATAAATACAATTGATTTGCCTAACTTAACATCATGAAACAAATGATGAACTGTTTGTTTATCTAAATAAAACCATGATGAACAACAATATTTTCTATAACAACAATGCATGTGTCAGAAGACCTTCAATCAGTCATTTGAATGAAGTGTAGGCCACAAGACATTAAAAGTAATTATCATGTTTTTCTGTACTATTGAGGTAAGACGTCCAGTCTTGAAGTCCATGAGAATTACTTCATTTTATCCAGTTTGCCTCCTGACACTGAATTTACATTCCAGGTATGTAAAAAGATCCCACAGTCTTTGCTTACACACAGGATGGGTGCCACAAGCAACCAACCTAAGCATTTTTCTGCTTTATTTGTCTTTAAGGTGTTTGCTCTGACAAGCAAGGGACGAGGAGAAGCAGCCATTCTAACAACAGCTACTGATGATCTAGGTTGAGTAGAAAAAAAAAAATTTGAATATTGATGTCTTATACCCAATGATATTAATTAAAAACTGATGATTGTTCAAAAACAGTAATCTAGTAAAAGAGTTACGTGGCTCAGTACTTAAATTCCTTACTTTTACACTTGTGCCAACAATATTTAGCATTCTAAACATTTTAGTAAATGATTTTATTTTTTATTTCATAGTTTGTATTGCTGCTACTCATCCTTCCTTGAGTATTATTTAATATTAACCCTTACAGTCCTAGGAAAGAGGAATTTCTCCTTACAAAGTCAGTACATTTTAAAGTACAAACTTTAAGGTAGCAAGAAGGGAAAATGTAAACTAAGGGACTTAGTTTGCAATGAAACCAATTTCCTAGAGATCAAATTACTACAAATGTCATGGCCGACACTGCTGAAGACTGATATTTAGATATTGGGAGTGGAAGGGTAACTAATAATGTTCTGTGATCTCTGAAGCATCATGAGGAATTGAACTGTATGTCATTAATACTACATCAATTTATCTCTTGCAGCATCACATGCTCCACCCAAGCCAGTGGTTCAGGTGCTGGGTCGTCATGAACTGATGATATCTTGGGAGAGTCCTCCCAAACCACTTGGAAGGATTAACAGCTATGAAGTCAGAGTAGATGATGTGGTATGTATGTTGTGAGAATAAACATCTTATAGTTTATTTTTACAGTTTTAACAGTGATCTAAGCTTTATATCAATGTTTGTCGAATGAACACGTTACTGTAACAGTTACTACTCTAGTGATAACCATGGTTTCTTAAAAATCACAAACTTTAAGCCTCTCAAAAAAGATATATTGTGCAAATTAGTCATGCAGAATTCAACACCCTTGTACAGTTACCATGAAATGTTCCAAGGTCATGTTTGTAAGGTTTTGCTTTATTTTTTGTGTCAGCCTATTAGTCTTAATCTAACATGACTCTTTTTAATGATAATGCTTTTATTTTGACTAGTGCCTATGCATTCAGCAAATATATGCTTGGAGAATGTATTACTCCTTGTATGAATCATTATCTTGCTTTAACAGGCAATTTACAATGGAGTTGAAAAGAGCTGTACTGCCAAGTCTCTCAAACCCAATACAGAATACTCAATCACAGTAAGTCTACACATTGGCACTCCATAAGAAAAGTTAGTTCCTATTCAATACAGCCAGTTCATGTACATAACTTTAGATTTAACCACTTTTTTTAAGTGAACAGACAGAAAAAGTGTCTATAGACAGCTTAAGTCAGGGGTGCAGAGGGTAACAGGCTGAAGGCGTGGCATATAAATAGTTGACAAATCTTGGGAAGTTAATGGCAGTGATTTGGAAAAAAATAACTCTCCTCCTCTTTTTGAGGTGTTGAATCAGTGAGTCTGTTGTCTTTTAGGTCAGTGCATGGTGCAGTGAGGGTAGGTGTGAAAGTGTCCCAACCAAGAAGAGGACAGGAAGAGAAGTATACAGTGAGATACTTCTGATCTGTTGATATTTAAAAGAGGAGTCTAGGATTGTAGACATATGCCCCAATTAAGGAACAATTACTCATGACACTGTTATAATAAGTGACAAAGTGATAAAGCCACAAACATGATAAAGTTGCAGTTGGGTGTGGATTTCATCTGATTGGATAAGAATAGTTTAGCAAAACTGATTATTTTGGACATAAATTCAAATATTGCTCTCAACTGACACAAGCTAAGCAGTAATGTAGCAGGCCAGTATGTAGTCACTCATTTTTGTCACACCTGACAAGGCAGTAGTTGCCTGTGACATTCACTCTACAGCAATGGTCTATGATGATGAAACTACATGGTGTAAAAAAAAATAGTAATAAGTAACATTAACTCATTAACTGTATGAAGACTACAATGACTTTCCAATACAGTTAATAACCATTTCTGTTGCTGTTTCTGCCTAATTAACAATTCCATTAATTTTCTAACCTTAAAGGGAATTTTGCCAAAATAGACTCTGAACTCAGGTATTTGTTTTTCACTCAATTAATTTTTAATAACAAACAACAAAATCTACTTGCCCCTAGATGAATAGAGAATACAACCAAACTAACTAAATATGTAATTTATTTAACTAAAAATCAGTAACACTTAGCTCTTTTACCGTTTGGGAAGACTTGCTCGTTTCTTTTCTTCATCTTGTTTTGGAAATGTTGCTGCAACAAGTGTATAGTTCCTTATTCAACTCTTAGTCATTTATACCCCAACGTCATTGTGCATATTCTCTACACAGTTATCCATACTATCCTATGGTACTGATAAGGAGAATTTGATAGACGATCCTCTTTGGTGGTCACTTCCTTTATTCTCATGACCCTAATGTTTGATTGAGTTGTGATGATGTGAGGAGAAATTACATGCTAGTCACTCTTAGGGGTGAATGTGTTAACTACTTTATTTTTACTTCTGTTTGATTAATGATTTCTTTGCACCTGCACTATGTACACGGGCTCAGTTTAGCAGTCTGTCTTCCGTGTTTTTCTTCTCTGTTATCTACTTACTCTCTAGTTGTTATTCAACAGGAGTTGTATTTGATGCCTGTCCCATTCCAAAACCGTAGCTCTTTACTATTGTCAACGAAAGTAGTACAGGCATCTCTCACCTCGCCAATAGCATAGGAAGTACTTTTTTCTGACGTGTTAAGTTTTCATTTTCTTTCATATAATTGATGGTGGCCATAAAACTGGCAAACATATTTCCCTGTTAGGTTGGATAGGAAGGGTATTAATGGAGTGTCACTTTAAGACCAAATTCTCTCTTGGGAAACAAGAAGGTTTCAGTAACTTCGTCAAGTCATTTTGATTCCATCTAAGTCTTGCAAAACTGTCTTCACCTTGAAGGAGATTACAAAACAGTCTGGTGAGATAGAAAAACACAATTGAGGTATTGATAAATCAAGAAGAAGCAACGATGGCTTAATTAGGATGTCGAAGATTGAGGTGGATTGTAAATGATGACTTTTGTAAATGTAAACTAGCTACTTGAATTAGAAGGTAACAGTTTGCATATTGCACTCACACTGCACATGCACGTTTTTTAACAGACCCTTTGTGTACAGCGAAGGGCTCCACAAGGCCAAGAAATGCACGTACATCCACAAAGACAACTGCTTCAGCTGCTGCTAAAGCTTCTACCAGTAAAACAAAAGCTAAAGGTGCTGTTTATATAGCTAGCTAAATTATAAATTGAAATGTAAAATTCAAACGCATAAAAGTAATGCGCAACAGCACTATAGATTATAAACTTGGCCGTTAGGTATTGAAAAAAAAAACTGATTTGTGCTATCATGACCAGCTCAGTAACATCGAATAAATTTGTGCGTTTGACGATACCTTCTTTTAGATACGCCCAATTCATTATCCATGATATAAATTTCGATCTCCGTCATTGTATTACGTTCTTTAGCACATTTCGGTGATGATGATGATGATTCTATAACAAAAGACAATTCTAATAATCTCAACCCATTTCATAGTCTCGTGGCTATAACTCATTGCTAAAAACTAATACTGATCACCATGTACAAATTAACATTCACTTTTCAATGATATTTCCAAAGTTTGTAATTCCGAGCTGAGTGAAATATCTAATATAATAATATAACATTTTCTGAAATTACAATTTATCTTCTAAATTTCAACCTGACTGAATTGAAGATACTGTATAAATCTGAGCATGGATCAGAATAACACCAAGAGGCCGACTACAAGTTAAATGACAGTTGTGTACATAGACCACCTCGATTAGAATTACCACTCCATAGAATGCTTCAAGACAGCATGTATCTGGAAAACGTGAGCAGTTCAGGGTATTTTTCTCACAGCAAGCGCTGTCAAATGTTTTGACTAGTTTTTTAGCTAGACATTTATATATTTTTTCAGAGGTGCATTTGGTAACATAATAATTGCGGGAATACCTTCCTTATCTAAGCGCATAATTGACCAGTTTATTCGGCTGGTTCCCTAACATCAAGCCTTACTTGGTCTTGTTCCTAATTTGAAGATTTCTTTGCAGCTCCTACCAGAAAGCCTTTGTATCCATTTGAAAAGAAAACTGTACCAGTTAAGCAAGAAAAGGGTGAGGGTTTGATTTTAAGCGACATCTTGTTAAATTTGGTGAAATGTTTGCAACCAAATGTACTCTTATGTTAGGGTTCTGTTATTACACTTGGCTCGATGTATTTGTAGAGAACTGAGGGCGTGGCTGTTAAATTCGCACTTGCTCGCATTTAAACGGCGCTGAACCAAAATAACTTAGTAGGGAAAAAAGAAAAGAAAATTTGTACCATCTGCGATGATGGACGAACTATGTGTGGTACGTGCTCATTTGTTTCTGCTTTGTGGGAGGTGCATTTTATGGGGTTTGGGTTTCTATTACTTTCCTTTTACAGCCATAGTCAGAAAGGATTCATTTTACCAGAATTCCACAGTTAAAAGTTCTCTCTCATTTCTCTGAGTTATAAACAGCGGTTTTTCAGTGTTTATCAGTCTTTACTCGTCATTACTTTCTCCAGTACTAAGAAGAGCAAGGACTGCCGAAGTGCTGAGAGTTCCAACAGGAGATAGTACACTAACAGCGGACAGTAGGGAGGCAAAACTCAAGAGGAACGGGGTAAACTTATCTTGAGGTTTATTACTATGACATTAAGGAATCTGTGTCATTAAAAAATGAACGTCGAATTCATGCCGGATTCATCTACATTTGAAGCAATTGCAGACAAAAAATTCATTCAACGTAGTTTTGATATTTTGAATTTCAGCATAAAATAGAAATCAATGGGTAGCTCGGGCAAAAAATCCCATAAACTCTAAAGTTTGTTTGTGGCTCTACTTGTATCTGGAAGTCACAGGTTCAAGCTTTGTGGAAAGCTGAATTCTTTTTTCAGACCTTACTTTCAGCTGAAATGTTAGTGATTACCTCCGCCAGTGGATCACGTTGATGACATTGCGTTTATCTTTTTTGTTTTACTCTTAGATATTAACTGAGAAGAAGACTCGTCCTCATACAACCATAGGAAGGGAAGATGTGTTGAACAGCTCCCAGCAATCTATCAAGAAACCCACTGGTAATGACTTTATCATCATATGCTCTCTGGTAATTAGCCTTTTCATTGCTGGCAGAAGAAAAGAAAACAATTGGCGCATCAAAGGTTTATCCTTTTACTTCAAGAAGATTATCAAAAGAATGCTAGTTTACGATGTTAAATTGTGAACAAAAAAGGACAGTGACACTTCCTTTTCTGGCGGTTATGTGGTTTTTTTTTGTGGCAGGGTTGTTGAAAGTTCCGCAAACCTTTTTTTCTTGGTCAACGGCTCCCTGATCGTCGAAAATAAACGTAGCAAGAATACGTAACACCTTTTTCGGCACAATGAAGTAATAGTTCTTAATTGGTAGCGTTATAGTTTCATTATTTTGTGCCTTTACATTCCGTTTCTATCTTATTGCCTAGCATCGCAGTTTCGGATTTCACTCGGAAATATTTTGCACTGGAGTGGTATCAAAGAACATCTGAGATGTGATTCTTTTAGTCACAAACTTGGGAAAAAGGAAAACATCTGAGTGAGGGAAAATCTGAATCCCAGTTAGGAGTCAAACCCTAGACCTTCGAATTTCTAAATTTCGTGATCTGAATTGCTCTACTACTGTGCTATAGAAAACTTTATATTAAGTTGGCCACATACTAGGTTCATGTGTAACCAAGCTGTACATGTGTCTCTTGTTAGGGCGTAAAACAACCAAGCCTCAGTCGCCTAGTCTGTCGCAGTCACTCGAGTCCTTGGGGAAGGATAGTGACGATTCAAAGGTAGTAATGCTATCTTTTTGAGGAAGTTATTTCGTATTGCGTAGTCTGAGATCGAAGGCTTATTAACACCTCCGATATTGTGTTTTTGGAAGGAAGAGGGGGATTTTGAATGATTGTCCGTGGATTTAGAATCCTACGGCAACGTTTGTGAGAAAATTTTTAGCGGTTATTCAGCATTTCAAGAAGCTAGCTGGCTTTTTATGTCACCTTGAGCTCCTATTCGCCCCTCGTGATAATTTTTTTGCTCAGATTGGCCGCTCTGGCTATGTTGTTTTCGGTTTTGCGACATTTAAATGCCATATGGAAAGATAGTTTATATGATATGCTTATTTTAATTTCATCCAGAGTACAAGCCATTCATTAAGTGGCTCCAGCTCAGCTTCATCAGCCAGTTGTGAAGTGAAGGACAGGAGAGCTGTGAGTGATGCTGCTCAAATAGAAATTGGAAAAAAACTGACTAAACGTAATTCTCAGCTTGGAGGCTCGGCATCCTCGTTAACAAAAGAAAGGGCTGGAAAAGGTCAGTGCTGGCCTTATACTTTGGATAATGCATCTCTGTTCTCGCGCTGAACACTGTTCTCCTCGCTTGAAATTTAAGGGGGTACTGCACATTTGATTTATCATTAAAAAAAAAGTGGATCAAGTCAGTATCTGAGCAACTGCGCACCCTCCCCCCCTTCGACAACAGTCAACTGAGAACAACTCAGGGTGAACTCAGAGTTAATGTTGGGTTGGTAAAGGGGAGGCAGGTAGGTGCACAGTTGCCCGTATACTGACATTGATCCATTCGTGTAAATTTCCAAGTGAGTGTTTTTGTAAGTTGAGGGCAATGTCGTGAAGTGGCTCAATTAGTTAAAAATGAAAAATTCCATGATTATGTCGTGACTCAACAGTGTATCACTGAGCTTTACACAGTCATAGTCCCCTAAGTTTTTTTCCCGCTAAAATTAAGTCGTCAACTTATGTGTCCTATGTGACGAGTGAAATTTGGGGATCATTGTGTTATGGGAAGAACTGTTAAGTAATCTTAAGCTTATTCATTCTACAAGTTGATTTCTCTTGGTTTTTGCTTGCTTTTCTTTTCAGGTCCAATAATGATGAGAAGGTCAAGTCTTCCGGGGAGCGGAGGGGTATCTGGTAAAAGATCCTCTTCTAGATCCACTACAGTTAAAACACCACAAATAACAATTGGAGAAGATTCTCCTTCGGCTTCTAAGGACAGACAAAGGTACATCAAACTAACAGACTCTGGGACTGTTCGTGCAAATCAGTCGAACATGTATATTGATTAGCAAGGTCTTTGTCATTGAAAATGGTGGGGGCGGGGGTAGGGAGAGGAGTATCCGTGGAGGACCAGCTTAGCTGCTGGACCCTTCCCGGTTGCTGTAGCACAAGGTGAAGAGGAGTACTGGTACTCTCTTTCAGATGGGATGCTAGTCTACGGCGCGTTGCCCTCGGCATATTATCACGTTTCCTCGTTAATTTATTGGTGTTGGTACCCATCCGAACTTTTGTGTAAAGTAAATTGATTTTTCCAAGAACATTATGATATTGATTGTTAAACAAATCCTCACAGTCATTATCACAATAAATGTGGAGAGATCACTGTGGAGAAATTGCGTACTGATGGTAGAGAATGAGCGTGACAAAGATATTTTACGTTTCGACCATGAAGTAACCTGAAGTACATCCGATCCATTGAGTCTTTTTGTTTATCTATTTATTTATTTATTTATGTATTTTTTTCAGTGGGTCATCCTCTGCTCTAAGAATCACTAAAATCGCAGGGGAGGTTGCTTCTCTTCAGATCTCTGAAGGAAATGATGCGTAAGTGTTTTAAATGGAGGCTGTGCAATATTGCAATGAGTATAATTTTGTGGTCTACTGATCAGAACGTACAAAGGTTGGGTATTTTCTTGTAACTTTGTCTCAGATTTTGCTTTTCTTTTTGGGGGAAGGTGAAGTCGTGTCAATCATTGTAACTGAGTGTCACTGTTTTCCATGTACTTTATTTTAGGAAACCCCCCCGACCACAGAAGAAGACTCAGTTTGCCTCATCGTTTAATGAACTGAAACAGGTGCACAGAGGAACCAGGACAAACAGTTCAAGAAGCAGCTCCTCTGAAGGCAGACATGGGGAAGAACAATAGATGGATGGAGATGGAACAAAGAATCTTTAAACCATATGCTCAACCCCGGGGAGGGACAAGAGGATAGGCACGGGTGGGCTGGGGGGGGGGGGG